TCAAAGCTTTGTCCACTCACATTGGCTGCACCCAAAACCATGCAACGGATAAACACACAGGTTATCGTGTTACCTCAGCTCACGAGCAACATGCCTACATTCACCATTAGCCCTGAAAACTGGCAGCATTTAAGATCCTTGAACTTTCTGACCCCAGCTGTCACATACCAGCTCACACTGATATGGTAATCGGCAGCAATATACTGCCACAGATCCTGCTGGAAGGTATACAAAAGATTTGCGACACTATACTTGCGCAAAGAACAATATTTTGCTGGATTTTCAGTGGTCCAATAACCAAAAATGTGATGGCATTTTCGACACAAGTAGAAGAGTGCTCGAATGGAACTCTCAGCTCTCAGCTTTAAAAGTTTTGGGAAGAGGAGGAGATTCCACAACCTCCACAAATTTCACCTGAAGATCAGGCATGTGAGCATATATATGCAACAACAACGACTCGTGCCCCAAACGGTCGATACATTGTGCGACTTCCATTCAAGGAAGAATTTCCAAAAAAACTGTCTCTAGACCACTCTCGGTCTGTTGCACTCCAGCAGTTTTTCAGCATGGAGCGATCGCTCCAGAAAAAAGGAGACTTAGGCACAATGTACAACAATGTGTTGGAAGAATACCTCGACCTCGGTCACACGAAGCCATGCGAAATAATAGCTAATGGCAAATACTTTTCGTTCTACTTGCCACATCATGAGGTCGTCAAATCAGATAAGGTGACCACCAAAGTTCGCGTGGTATTCGACGCCTCAAAAATATCTGGTTCAGGAAAATCCCTGAATGACGTTTTGCACACTGGTCCCACACTCCAGCCAGATCTCATACTGCTCATTCTGCAGAAAAAATGTGTCGTCAAATACTCATCCACGAGGACGATAAAGATTTTCAGCGAACCTTGTTTCGCACGTCGGCTGACTCCCCTGTCACCGATTATAATCTTAAAACCGTAACGTTCGGCGTCAATTGTGCACCATACCTCGCTATCCGTACCCTTCGTCAATTAGCAAATGATACGATAGCGACATTTCCCTTGGCTGCCACAATACTTAAAACCGAAACGTATGTGGATGACATCCTATCCGGAAGTCATGATATTGACAACGTCACTGAATCACTCGTTCAAGTGATCAAAGCGCTGAAGTAAGCTGGTTTCATACTTAAGAAACTAACGGCCAATCATCATTTTAGAAAAATTTCCAAAGGAGTATCTTCTCGACTCCAACTTTTTGAAATTTGAGAGCGCTTTCACAACCAAAACTCTTGGTATACAATGGAATGCAATCACCGATAAGTTTTCCTACACCATTCTGCCTGCATCGACATCGAATGCCGTCACAAAGCGACAAATCTTATCCTCTGTCGCAAAACTTTTTGACCCCGCAGGATGGCTGTCGCCAGTGATGGTTCAAGCAAAGATTCTGCTTCAAGAACTTTGGCTCGATGGCGTTGATTGGGACGAATGTGCCAAACCCATAGCTTTAGCAAAATGGCAACAGTTCGCAGAAAATTTGCCAGCCATATGCCACATCGAAATCCCTCGATGGGTTAACTTCACTCCGGGGCAAGACACCCAAATCCGCGGGTTTTGCGATGCCTCGGAAAAAGAATATTGCGCTGCGATTTACATCCGCGTAAATGCCAGTGTTTCGTATGCGATTAAATGATTCCGGATGGAAGTTGGTCGGATATGAATAATATTCTTAATCAATACTCGTGGACAATGAAAATAAAAAACACGACCAGTTGACCAAGTATACCTTTTGCTATGCTTTATTTCCTCATTTGTTATTTTAGGGATTACAGAAAGCCCAAGAGTGTTTGTAAAGTATCGAAATCGATAAACATGCAGCATTACACTGCGTCTACACTATGGCAATTAGATAGAGAAAATCACTATCCTTACACTATATCTGCAGTGACTATTTATGAATTTAAATCTGAATTTAACATTCTCCCGCCGATGACGGTTACATTACTTTGCTGTTTATACAGTGTAGATATATACTAATAAGCTGCTATGATTTCGTGGTGACATTTGTCGGCAAGTGCGTACGAGTGATTCGAAATGGACGGCTGTAAGTAAAGTGATCGAAAATGCAAATTGTGGGCTAAATATCATTTGGTGTAGGAACTACATACAATTTTGTGATCGGTCTTTTGAGTACGTTCTGAGATTCTCGAATTGTAGCACAGCGAATGAGACCATCGTCACCTGGGTGAAGATCAATGATGTGACCCAAAGGCCATTGATTTATTGGGAACCTTTCGTCCTTGATGATGACTAAATCATGTTTTTTGACGTTAGGCTATCGACTAGGACATTTGGTACGAATTTGCATGCTTGAGAGAATGTCGCTACGAAATCGAGTCCAAAAATTCTGCACTAATTGTTCCATGAGCTGATGTCTCTTAACTGGATTTTCAAATATTGGTGGTTGTGGTCGAGCAAGTAAATGTCCGGGTGTTAGAGCAGTGAGATCATTTAAGCAGTGTCGCTGGTTGGCGATATTGGGCGTGAATTTAGAACCGCCTCGATGCGCTACAGTACGGTTGAAAATTCTTCGAAAGTTAATTTTGTGATACCAATGATTCATGCTAAATGGAATTTCATGGACTTGACGGCCGTCTCTGCTAGTCCATTGAAGTGCGGTGCTGCAGGTGGACTAAAGTGCCATTGAATATTGCGAGTTACTAAATGCGGAATGACATCTGCCTGGATCGTTGCCTCAAATTCCTCTTTTGAACGTTTAAGGATATTCGCTGCTCCAATGAAATTTGTTCCACAATCACTACAAAGGTCATGACATAGGCCGCGAGTTGAAATAAATTGCTCAAAGGCATGTAAAATTGTTCGTGTGGATAAATCTCCTACTGCTTCCAAGTGAACGGATTTGGTTGCCATGCATGTAAATATGGCTACATATCCTTTATACGAAGATTGACCTCGACACTTTGATGCACGGATGCTATACGGCCCAGCATAATCAATAATAGTTGCAGCAAATGGTCTTGATTGATAATTAACGCGATGAAACGGCAAAGAACCCATTCATTGATTAGAAAGAGTTGGCTTGTTTTTAAAGCATCGAACACATTTATGGATGAAATGACGTACAAAATTTCGAATGTTGAGAATCTAATAACGTTGACGAATTTGATTAACGGTGACCAAGGGACCTCCATGGAGTGTTTGCTTGTGATAAAAATCATCAATTAAAAAAACTATTCGATGATTCGTTGGCAAAATGATTGGAAACTTCTCATCATATGATATGTATGCGTTATGTAATCGACCATTTACTCGAAGAATTCCCTTTTTGTCTAAAACGGGTTCAATCAACGGGCATACCAGTTTGCTTGATTTTGAAAGTGGTTGTTTTCATAGTAAAGAATTGAGTTCAGAATAAAAATATTCCCCTTGTATCCATCGTATGATATACAATTCAGCCTTTTCCAATTCTTGAACGGACGGTGGTGCAATTTTGGAAATTTTTCCTTTTATTGAATCTTTCGAAACTGGCATTTTTGGTTGTTTCGAGTGTATGGCATTGAGTAGCCGTTGGACATAACAAAAAAATATGCGATACTATAACGAAGACGATTGAAATTTGAAAATCGATTAATAATGGAATCAAGACTATTGACGGGCTTGATGGTGGCATGTATAGATTATAATTTTGACCGAAGCTCCTGCGGATCGTCACCGATAACGTTGAACGGAGAATGTGGTTATTTTTCAGAAGGCAGGGAAAGCCAATTCGGACCTTTCCACCATAATTCCGCCAGTAATTGTTCAACGGATAAACCGCGGCTATTACAATCAGCCGGCGATACTACGATTCGCAAATAAATTGATGTTGAATAAGCCCTTTGTGAGCTGTCGCAGAATACATGCAATTCACTACACTGGTTTTCACTTGTTGTTTGTACCCAACGGGGAATTTTAATTTCGTTGAGATATTTAAGCTGGTGAATCATTTCATTGCAGTTCGAATTTAATTTTGATGGCAATGTTTCGTCCCAATCAATGTTCCGCTCCCAAAGTGTTGTAAGAAGCAATTTTGCTTTAGTGACAAATATATTGATCCACCCTAATGGATCAAAGAGACGACCGATGAGAGAGAGTACCGTTCGTTTGGTATGAGGAGCCTCATCGCTCGAATTAAAGAAACGCGTTGTATCTTGATTGCGATATTCGAGTGGAATATGATGAATAATTTCCGAGAAATTGCTAGCCCATTTTCGTAGTTCGAAACCAGCACCCCAGCATTCGAATAATTTGGTTAGTTAATTCAATCGTTAACTCAATTGTTTCGCTTCCCGAAGTAACATCATCAACGTACGTTTAATTAGTAATTGCTGTGTAGGCAAACGGATACTGTTTTCGCTCCAGTTTAGCTAATGTTTGTAATGTTTTTATTGCCAAAAATGGTGAGGGCTTGAGTCCGAATGTGACCGTTTGGAGAGAATATGTCTTGATCTGGATGTTGTCTTCCCAAATGAGCTGTTGATATTTTGTGTCGTCAGCATAAACATCAATACAGCGATACATTTTCTCAATGTCTGCAACAAAAACAAATTTATGAGTTCGCCAATTTAAAATAATCGAAACAATATCAGATTGCAGCGAGGGGCCTGTCGTAAGCACATCATTAAGAGAGTTTCCGTTTGATGAGGGTCCATCGAAGACTTGACGTAGTTTTTTTTGTAAGACTACCTTGTTTGATCGCAGCGTGATGTGGTAAATAGAAGTGCTTAATTGAATCTGGTAGGAAATTATCGTCATTGATCGTTTCTACCTCCTTTACTTGCCGTAAAAGTTTATATTCGTTAAATGTGTCGACATACGATAAAGAGGATCCCAAGTGAATCGATGGATCAAAATACCATTTGAATGGCAAACGCACCAAAAATTTTCCAGTAGATTGTCGAGTGGTGGTTTTTTCATAAATCCGTTCTGTCCACTCATCTTCCTTAGACCTTTTTCTTTAGGTTGGAACTTGCTCCAGTTCTTGGAATCGTTTAATGCATTCGGCTATTTCTACGGTGGAAACATGAAAACAATCATTTAACAGAAATGTAGTTACGTGATTTTGGTGCTTGAGTTCACCTAATTAAATCCAACCTAAAGAAGTCTTTTGTGCAATGGGCTCCCCTTCTTGGCCTTTACATAAACCCCTTTGAAGAATTTTTGCATAAACGTCCCCACCAAGCAATAGATCGACTTGACCGGGTTCAGCGTAATGTGGATCCGCAAGTGGTAAATGTTTGATGTGATTCCATGATTTTACATTGATGGGTTTTAATGGTAAAGCAGATGAAATTGAAGGAATAATAGCAGCAAGTGCTTGCACTTTAAAATTCGGATCTACAATTGAATGTATTTCGATAATCATGCCTTTATTAGTAATTTTATATTGTGATTCACCCATTGGTCGATATCCTATAAAAATTGGAGTAATAGGAATGTTTAAACGTTGAGCTGCTATTTCTGTGATTGTCATTTGTTGTGAACCTTGGTCTACTAAGGCACGAAGACGTATGAGTTGGCCGTGGATGTCGGATATGTCGATTAACGCTGTGACGAGAGGCACTGTATGATTCGAATGAACTAAATTATTTGTAGCAAGCGAAACATTTGGAAATTTCGTTGCCGGTTGAGGGGAACATCGCTCGAAATTGTTTGTATGAGGATGCAATGTAGTCGGCGATGGAGTTGATGTATCGAGATGTAGAAGAGTGTGGTGTTTACCACCACAAGTGGAGCATGTCTTAGTACTTACACATGCTGATCCAGTAGAATGGCCTAGACAATTAGTACACCAGTGAGCCTTTTTTGCCAATGATTTTCGGTTGATTGGCGTAAGCCGCAGAAAACGTGGACATTTTCGTAGAAAATGCGACTGCTTACACATTGTGGATGAAAAGTTTTTCGCTGAGATATGAAAATTGTTTACGTCTTTCCGATTGGGATATTTACTCGAAGATGAATGTGACGGTTGCTTTGATTGGAAAGATTTACCTGTTTGTGGATATAGAGCCTCCAGTGTGCGAAAACGAGTGTCAATGAATTCAGTCAATGAGTCAAAAACTGGAATTTTTGTTTCTTTCCCGAGGTGTTTCTCCCACTCTAAACGAAAAATATGTGGTATTTTTTTAATTAACATATGAGCCAACAATTCACCACATTCCCCCGTTTTAATACCTAATTTGTTCAAATTAACTACACACGCACGAGAGAGGTCATGCAATTGTCGAATATCTTCTGCATTTTCGTTGACCATGGTAGGCTGATTTAAAAACTCCTCCATATATGTGCTGAACAATACGCGCTTATTATTGAAACGTGCAATCAAAGATGCCCATGCTATATCTTAATTGTCGGCTGTAATAGTGAGATGACCGATGAGGGTTTTTATCTTTATGTCAAGAGCTTCTTTAAGATATTTAAATTTTTCATGATGGGTTAGAAAGAAGAAAGAAAAGAATCGTGGAAAGAAGGCCATTCAATGTAACTTCCGTTGAACTTTGGAATACTTAATTTCGGTAACTTGAAAGGCGATTAAGTTGGAGGCAACATTTGGTATGTGACCGGCGAAGAGGGATTTTGGTCCGCTGAAGCCGGAATTACAGTCGACGGTTGATGACACTGTTCGAAAGCTGTTTGAATCTGCGTAACAATGTCGATATAGGAATTTTCGAACTGATTGAATAGATCTTTGGTAACATATTCGCTTTCATTTGCTCCATCAACGCCTAAAGTTTCGTAATGCGTTGAGAGGGAATCAGCACGTAGGTTTTCAATTCGATCTAAACGTATTTTGAAATGATGTCTCGATTTTCGATCGGGTCCGTCTTTTTTTAAATTTAGAATTTCCTTTTTTAGACGATCATACCTCTCGATCTGCTGCTTAACAGCTCGATCAATTTTCTCTTTAGACATACCAATCGAATGGCCAAACAAAATGCAATTCAATCACTTACCCTTTACTCTGATAGCTCGGCCTGGAAATACAGAAGTCCAAAATCGGGTGATTTGTCAAACGTCAACGTAATTCAAACAGTTGTCCTCACAGGCTATCAAAATGTGCCCAGTGATAAGATGAAAGATGGCTCCGGTCCAGGATGACGTGCGATTAATTTATATAACGAGTTATAAAATTCGGGCGGTGTCCACGGGTGACCCCAATGCAATTTTTGTTGAAAGCAAACGGATTTAATCAGCCATCCGGCTCGTAAGGACCAATGTTTCGTATGCGATTAAATGATGTTCCGGTTGGAAGTTGGTCGGATATGAATAATATTCTTAATCAATACTTGGACAATGAAAATAAAAAACACGACCAATTGACCAAGTATACCTTTTGCTATGCTTTATTACCTCATTTGTTATTTTAGGGATTACAGAAAACCCAAGAGTGTTTGTAAAGTATCGAAATCGATAAACATGCAGCATTACACTGCATCTACACTATGGCAATTACATAGAGAAAATCACTATATCTGCAGTAACTATTTATGAATTTAAATCTGAACTTAACAGCCAGCAACAAAAGAAATTCCACCCTCTTGGTTGCAAAAAGCAAAGTCGCACCATTGAAGACGGTAAGCGTGCCACGCCTGGAGCTGTGTGGGGCAGTCTTACTCGCAAAACTGGTCGCAACTGTTCGAAAACAGCTCAAATTGGAATCGTGCAACACATTCTTATGGTCAGATTCAGAGATTGTGCTAGCTTGGCTTGAAAAGCCACCATGTACATGGAAGACGTATGTATCCAATCGTACCTCCCAAATCCGGGAATATCTTCCAACCGGTACATGGCGCCATGTTGCCAGCCAAGACAATCCAGCCGACCTCGGCACCCGTGGTTGCAAACCGAAGGACTTGGCAAATTCCCCACTCTGGGGCACGGACCAAAATGGCTCCCTTGCCACATGGATGCATGGCCAAGGTCAAAGGCATGCAGTGCATCTCCACCAGAAAAGCGCAAGGTGGAGGTATATCACGCGCTCGAAGAAGAGGTCGATTTTCTTGATCGCTTTTCTTCTTTCTCTCGAGCACTCCGCGTGACTGCGTACATGTTCCGCTTCGTGAGCAATCAAAGGGGTTAGCTACAATCACCTATCCACATCTGACACATAACGAATTTCAATATGCAAAAATTCGTCTTATCAACGCAGCGCAATCACACTATTTTCTGATCGAGAGAAGCGCTTTGCAAGATAAAAAGCCACTTAACAAAAAAAGTCCTCTTCTTGTTCTGAATCCTTCATTGGACAAAGCCGGACTTCTACGGGTTAATGGCCGATTAGCACATTCCACAATGAGCTATAATGAAAGGCAGCCAATAATGCTCCCTACCAAATCGAGGTTCTGCCAGCTATATTTGGAGTTTTTACACTCGCTGATTCTTCACGCAGAAACACTATTAACGCTCCAAATGGAAGGCAAGAGTACTACGTACCAAAGCTTAAACCTCTAATTAAAAATTGCATTTTTCATTGCAAAGTGTGCATTTACAAGCAAGAAACACGCACCCAAATAATAGCACCTCTACCCCTTGAGCGCTGCAGTTTCTCACTCCCATTTTCCACAACGGGAGTACATTTTGCTGGACCATTCCAAATTAAAGCATCGGTGCGAAGATCTACAACCCTTATCAAAGGATACATTGCAGTTTTTGTCTGTTTTTCCACAAAGGCAGTGCATCTCGAGCTACGCTCGGATCTTACAACCAAGGCTTTTCGATCAGCATTCGCCCGCTTTGTTGGCAGACGAGGCTTCACCTCAAACGTTCATTGGTGCCCAGCGCGCAACAGAACGCGACTTCGTTGAATTCCTTAACGAATGTTCCGCAGACATTGTCAAAAAATATGCCCCTCAAGGCATCAACTGGCAATATATACCGACCATAGCCCACCACATGGGCGGCTTATGGGAATCTGCAGTGAAAAGCTTTAAATCCATCTACAGAAAACTGCTACAACCCACAAGTTTCTTTTGAAGAATTCACGAGGCTTTTGGTGCGAATTGAAGCAGTCTTCAACTCGAGGCCTCTGTCCGCACTTGCCCAAGACCCAGCTGATATGACATCACTTACTCCGGGTCACTTCCTTCGAGGTGCACCACCGTTGGCCATTCCCGAGCCTAATGCGGAAGACCTCTCTCTACTAAACCGGTGGGAGAAAGTCAAAGCACTTCACCACCAATTTAGTTGCCGCTGGAAAGAAGATTACCTCAAGGATCTTCAGAAGAGATACAAGTGGAAAACCCCACAACGCGATCCTCAGCCAGGCGACCTCGTCGTGACCAAAAAAGATTCGCTCCCCCCACCTAGTGGCAATTGGGACGAATCGAAAACGTTCGCCACGGCCCTGATAACCACATACGTGCCGTAGAAATCCGTACACAAAATGGAGTTATCACGCGGCCACTTGTCAAAGTGTGCTTCCTTCTAAAAGCACAATAAATAATTCTATACATATTTTCTTTCTGTATATTAAGGGTCTTAACTTCCCGTTTAAATATTGTACCCAAGTACTTCTCGTTTCTCTGCCTTTGCTTCTACTTCCAGATCGAAGACATTATGGCATCAACGAAAGCATGCCCCCTGGCTTCAATGGCGGAAACAGACAACTCCCTACCATGCCGGCTCTGCCACCGGTATCACGCCTTGCGGACGTGCTCGGCTGGGAGTAGCCCGCGCTCAGGGTTACTGCATCAACTGCCTTGCCCTCACCCACACTACCGGGGAGTGCGACGCTGCTGCATGTGGCAGCCAACAACCATGCGCGCACGGGGCCAAGGAAACAGGGGCCCAAGAAGCGGGAACCGGCCACAAAGGCCCCAAGAAGAGTCAAGCGGCGCGCACCGCTGAAGAAGAGGGCGCTGAGGAAGGCGCCAAAGAACCCGCGCAACCAGGTGCCGCAACCGCCGCGCAAGAATACGGCGCAACGGACGATGGCGTGCACTCCCCAAGGCCTGCAAACGGCCAATTACCAGGGCCGCACCACCCACCGCGTCCTGGGCAACACAATCCGCGGCCTGAAGGAGCTGCAGGAGACACTCAGTAACGCATTCCTGCAGGGCGGGGATGATGTTTAAGCCGCCGCTTAAACGTAATTTCAACGGCCGTGCGCATATTCCCGAGCGCGCACGGCCGCCTAATGTCATCGTGAAAAATCAGCGACACGTCAGTCGAGCAATAAACGTCGGTCTACGCGCACGCGCCCTTCAAAACCTATTTGTGAAATAAACTGTGTCTTCACAGCTGTAAATATACAGACATATACATAGATTGCTATATACTTGTAAACTGAAAGTTTAAATAAATATTCAAACATTTTGTGAATTGAATCTAACAATTTAAAACGCAGTCTCTCCTTGTATCGGTAAAAGTGTGTGTGTGCAAGGTGAGTGCGAAAGGCGACCAGTGGATTTGTCCACAATGCTTGACCACAGATATATTAAAACAGTGCTCATCAATCATATTGGCTTTTTATATATGCGCAAAAGTGGAAAAATTAATTCAAATTACTTGCGACAAAATCAAAATTTATTTTTACAAATATATTTTTTCGCATTGTTCCTACTTTAAGCTCGTGTCATGATTGCAAATATGCGTTTTCATTAAAAATTCTCGTTGGTTTGGGTTAGCTGGATATTTTGCTATGTATCTGTGTAATTACTTTTTCAGAACTCGCTACCCGTTTTTACTACTTTTGTCCGCTGTAGTCCCATTGTGCGGCGTAGCGTCCTTTCGAACCTACCGTCCGTATCAACATATGAAATTACTGTTGATAGAGAGAGAGAAGAAACGACAACATCACCGTCTTGCGGTGGCGAGTTTTCGTTAACTAGAGAATTCCATAAGATAGGTCGTGTCAGCTGACACGGTCTAAGGTTTTACGTCGGT